ATAAATAAATAAATAAATAAATAAATAAATAAATAAATAAATAAATAAATAAATAAATAAATATCCGCTAAGGAAGGATACACAGAACTCTTGGTTATTATATAACAATGAAAATATTTTATTAAATGAATGAATGTTTGGAAAATACAAGAGAAGGATATAAGAAATGGGCGTCGAACGTTTAGACAATAAAATATTAAGAATTTGTAAAAGGGGAAGGGTAATTAAAATTATTGTTTGAAATTTAATTAAAAGGTATTACAATGAAGAAATTGTGGAAACCAAAAGACATCTAAAATTGGAATATAAAAATGTACAGGGAGTTTGACAGAAGAGCTGTCATTTGTTTTAAAACTACGCAGTGGAGGTGTACAACAATGCATATGGACAGGCGGGTTGGCGATCAGGTAGAGCTGACATCTTGGGAGAAGTTAAATCTGGTTTTCATGTACAAGTTGGTTGTAAGGTTGTAGGAGATTGTAGAGTGGATTTTCATAATAAGGAATACAGTCCGCAAGTGTTTCGATATGGAGTTTGAAAAGAAAAGAATGGTCCCCGCGACGAGAAGGCGCAAATAATCACAGCATTGGAGACGGTATTTTATGGGATCCAGCAACCATGGAGGGGATGCAATTTTGCAACAATCTTATCACAAGGTCAAAATTGTAACTAACTAAGTAATTAATAGTAAAGGCCATTAGCGTTATTTTTTAAATTTTTAAAACGAGTTCACTCGCGTGAATGAATGCAGTTTGAATAAATATGAATGAGTGAGTATGATTGAATTTGTTTTCTTCAAGATATGTTGTTGTATTATTTAAAGGGCAAATTTTGTGTCATGTTAAGTTTTGGCACTATAGAAAGCCGGTGTATATACGGCGGAGTGCAGAATTCGCCGCGTAGCATTTTGAAATCTGGTGTTTGTCAATAAATAATTGCTACTCATATTAATGGCATTGTTAAAATTTGTGAGTATATATTAGCAGGTAATATAAACCCAATGATAAGAGAAAAACATAGAGAGCTAGGTGTCCCATTCAATATGATGACAATTCAGTTTTCTGTTCAGGGGTGACTTCGCGAATTCACACAAAATTTATAAATTTGTACTGTAGGAGCGTAAACTTGGCGTAACGTAATAAATTATTATTAGTTTACAGATTTTGACTTGCTCAAGTGTGGGGTGAAACAGGAAAGGGGTTAATTGTTAGAATTTTTAAATCACAAGTTTATGATCCATTAAAATTTTTAATTTTTGTTTAAACAATAACTTTTTTCAAAAACGGTTCCATCGTTTTCGTTAAAACTTTTGTTGGTCGTTTACAATTTTTTAGAGAATGGTGTAAGTATTATTTTGGTTAAAACCCCTGATTTTTCAGAAATTGAAAAAATAAAAAATAATTTGGCGTCTTCCTACAACTACAATTATGAAGATACAGTTTTTCTTAATGAATTGTATTCATCAAAAACAGATCTTCAAATAAGGTCATACATGTTAAATTTTACGAAAATATGCGTATTATATTATTAATATGGCGACAAAAATAAACTACCGCTTCCGATTTACTGCGCTTCCTGAACATAAAATAAATAGTGATGCTAAACAATTGGTTGCTACGTAAGTTAGAATTTGTGTATTATTTCACATTTCTTCGATTCTTCTTCAAATTTTTGTTGTAAATTTTAAAATTAATATATTAGAAATTATTTAAAACCTATTTTAAATTGCGTCCTTTAATTGAGTTGAACGTGAAAACAAAAAATTATTTTGCCTTGCTTAACAAGATATGGGAATAAAAAGTAATGCACGAAATAAACGAATAATTTTGATGTATATAAAAATATATTTAATTATTATATTTTTTAAATCTATTTTCATTTTCTTGCTAACGGTATCAAAACTAATTGGCAAAATGTATATCCCATACGAATTAGCAGTCATTGTTGCTTGTAACCCATTGTTATAACTCTGCACTAATTACAGAAGGCCATAATGACTGCTGCCTTTTCTTTCGCATTAATATAAACTAATAGTTTTATTTACGGCTAAAATACACATCGTGCATCGTTGGTTTTCGCGTAATTTTGCGCGATTTATGTAAATTTGCGTACTTTTCGCGCAATTTTGCTTGAAAATACGGGTGAGAGAGTACGTGCGTTTATCACCACCAGTTTATACTCGCTAGAGTTCATTTTCTTTGTATGTTAATGAACGTCTTTCATGGCATAAACTCTATTCGGGACATAGGAATTTTTCTCGCGGAATTCATTAGCATGTTAGCCTGTCATAATGATACTGTTATGTTAGCCTGCATAACTGTACTGTCTGTGAACTTTCTCATCTAATTTTTCTTTGCTCATTATTCGTTACATTAAAGAGAAGAAAATAATTATACTCCCCTATAGTTGATTATATTTCATTTTGAAAATAGTTTATTAAGCGATCATTGAATGAAGTAGGCATTGTTGTTCCCTGTTCTTTTTCAGGAAAAGCTCTCATATTTTATTAATGTGTACAATTTTATTCATGTTGTCCGATTAACGCGCATTTGCTGATGTGTCTCTTACGAGTTGTCGTTTCATAAACTTCGTAAAACATAAAGTTCAATATCAAGAAGTTCTGTGTGCTTTCGATTACGTTTTGCAATAGCGTCAAAATATATCTTGCCGCTCTTGGGGTCATTTATTTGAATGTGATTGGTTGGGCAACCTTTACCTGACGTCATCACTATTTCTCTAGTATGCACCAGCGTCCAGAGATGGGACGCGACGAGTGGGGGAAACTGCTGGTGTTGTCCTGCCTGCTGAGAGAGCACCAGAGTTGCAGCCAGTCGCAGCCAGCGAGTATCTTGCCTCATCGTGCCTGCGTCAGGCGTGTGAGTGGTGGCGATGATTTAGTTGGTTGGAGAGAATCGTGGGCGTGCTTATTCAGACGCGAGTTTGAAACCAACGTGAATATTTTTACAATTTTCATTTACAAATCGGCCTAGAGTTTTGACAGTCTTCAGGTTTTAATTCGTGGAACGTCTTGTTTCATTACTCGTGCCATTGCGAAGTGTGTGCATAGCGAATTCGAAAGTGGATGTGTGTGTATGCGTTCGTATGCATTGTTGACAATTCTTATGTCAAGGATGATGTTGTGCAACTAAGTAGCCTTTTTGCAAATATAATTATCTCTGAGTTTTTTCGTGTGAAATGTATGTTATTATATTGGACACTATTTTCATTTGACATGTCATTCTGATGTTTTCTAAAGATTTTTCTTTCATACCACTTTTGATACAATGGAAGATAACGAGCGTAATGAACTCATAGAAAACGGAAGAATTCACAGTGTTCTGCGATCAGCCTCTAACCGTGTCATAGAAAAAGAGAAGTACGTTAATGTTTCAATAGTTTCATCAAAAACAAAACTAAGGTGGGTAACTACAAATAATATAATTTCCGTTTGTGGAAAATTTACATAGACAACGTTGTTTTTGCATTTTGTTTTTTAGACACAGAAATGTGAAAGGACATATATCACAGTCTCATCATGCAGTAGCACATGTAAAGGACGGGGATAAATCTGAAGCTGGCTTGGATTTTGACAATATAGTTGCTGATAAGGTTCCTTCAATTTTTTAATCTAATAAATTATTATTTGATTATGTAATAAACTTTTCTAATTATTCACAATCTCATGTAATGAAATTAAATTGAATGCTTTCAGTCACTCTCTGAAAATGGAATGACAAGGAACAAAAACTTTCACACTGTGGCTGATCAACATGTCTTCAACAATTTGCCTATCCATAAACAAAATGATCAGACCACAAATTCAAGCAATTGCAAATCAAGTATTAAAAGAAGTGCTTATTTGTTCTACAAAGCTGCAGGAGACTGGTGGAAGTGAGTTCATTATTTCTTTCTTTATTGTAATAGTTTTTTGAAAGGAAAGTAGGTCATTGCATAGATTTTGAAATTTCCAAATGAAAAATTGACTAATTGTATATGAAAATGTAATGGGTGTGTAATTGGGTTCAGAGATTGTATTTTCATGGTGGGGTGAGTTAAAGCAGTAACCCTTGTAAATGCTATGTTTTCATATGGGAGTTCATCATTAATTATTGAAGATTTTAAGATGTTTTCTCTCTCTCAGTTCTTTGGAATCATGTTTTTGTATTCAACGTGAATAATGAAGGATGTAATACTAACATTGTTGGATTAAATCTTCAAAAGAGAAAATTAATTATAAATAGGTTTCTTGATAAAATCAGAGGTGATGGTGTCTTGAAATAATCTTATGCTTGAAAGATGTTTACTTTTAATAGCTTGTATAATATTTTGTTAGGTCCATGATTTACTGACAATTGTTTGAAGTAGGAAATAGCTGAGGTTTATGATTGCAGAGAACTTGAAATAGAAAACATCTTTGTCATACTTTTTCTGTAATAACATTGAAGAAAAAATGGATATTTAGTTATGAAAAATTAATGTTATAATACAATATTTCCAAGGCATGTATAGTAGTATCAGATAATTGACATATCTACCCGTTTTTACAAACGTTATCTTTACTTTATTAAAGCGTTGAGAATTTTGGATGTTTTTCGGCATACGTTTGCTCCATACCGTTATTTACATGCCCAAATTCCACTTACACGGCACATACGTAATTGTTAGAAATTAGAGAATCTGCTTGCGCAACACAGATTGGCTAACGTAAGTCATTTTGCGCCGTAGTTCCGATGTTGTTGGTCGAAGTGGGGGATGTAACCAATTTCCTAGAGGTTTGAGTCGCACGCGTTTCTGACTCCGCGGGAGACCTCGCTCTCAAAATAGCGGTGCTTTCAAACGCTTGACTCCTGCAACGCATTCTGGGGGATGTCCTTCGCCCACATTTATTTGGCCGTAGCAATCGCAGTGTGTGTGCATAGCCTCGCCGTTTCAGTGCCTCCTATACGTTGCGGTCGTATCCCCTCCCGTCGCTTATCTCCCGTGAATCATTTGCGTGCTGAGAACTTGTCCCCCGCTGTGGGTCACGTGTTCTCGTTGGGCAAAGAGTGGGGAGCGCGGCACGGTAGACGCCGTAGGAGGGGAAAGGTGGGGGCTTCGGAGCGCCTTCGATTGGGGAGAGCCCGCGCCTGGCCCGAACACGCGGTACCCCGTTCTTCCCGTGCTGACAGCGAGAGGCGCGCCGCCCCACCCCGCCCCTCGCTGCTTACAGGAGTGGAAACATTGCAGTGTTCCATAAATTTGTAGTTGGTCTCCCCGTGCGGAATGGGATTCGTTTGGCGAAATGGGTACTTGGGTGACTAATAGTACTATAATCAAACCACGTGAGGAGTTTCGGCGGGATTTGCCCAAGATGCTCGAGCTGCGGCATGACAGGAATCTGATGCATGCACGTGGAGACAGTACTTTTCCTTTTGTGCTTTTTTTCCAGTGTCTTTCCAAAGACTGATTACACCTATTCCAAATCGTCGAATTGCCGGAAGGAAATAGCTCCTGGTGTAATGACTATGCCGAACATGTCACGTTCACCACTTCATTCTTATTTGGGAAGAAAAAGTATGGAAACTTCTTCCCCGAGACTAAATAGAACATTTGATAAAAGCTTATCAGGTTTGTGGAAGTGATTGCACTGGAAATTTAGTTTAATTTCTCTTTATTGACCTTATCCAAATCTTTTTATTCCTAGGGGATTTTTCAGATGATGCATACAATGTTTCCAGCACAACATATATCACAACTACTAGGACATACCTGTTAAAAAAGATTGTTTCTTCAGTTTGGCAATTTTTTTCTTTAGTGTATAGTGTATTAACATTAAAGAAATACCGTTTGGGTACGTAATAGTTTTTATTAAGTGTTTTTGTACAATAAATTGACAGTTTAATTTGTAATTTTCTTGACATTTGTTTGGTCAGGAATACAATCAACACTGGTAACAAGAAGAGCAGGTCATGTCAACACAATATCACGTTACCATCTATTAGAATTCATGTGTTATCAGTCAGCTTGTTATTTTCTTCGTCTCGATGCATGGATTTTGAGCTTGTTTCATAGATCTAATTTTGGTCACCAAATGATAGAAAAGAAGAGGGAATCTAAATATTTATTTCTGTTGCTGATTCCACCACTTTTATATCTGGGTAAGTATTTCATTACTTACGAAAAGGATGAATGTTAGTAGATGGATTTCCAGTATGTATTGAAAACGGTTCATTTTTGTGTTATTATGCAAATATTTAAGTTTTGTAATTAAATGTTATTCGTCTCAGAAGAAAGTAAAGTTGTATTAATGGGACTTGGAAGTTACGGTTTATACAAAGAAGGGAAGGCAGGAATTGTAAATTGACTGACTTAAAATTTATATTAATTCTTGAGAAGAAAACAGCAGTTGAGGTTCATTTAAAAAGTATTGTTTTTCAATTACTGAAATAATTTTTTGAGTCATGTTAACTATTCCTTTTGATTATTTGTATAAATACATTAACATCTAATTCTAATGTCCATTAACCATATAATTGACTACCTATTAATGTTTCCTTTTTGCATTCATGTGTTTATGCAATAAAATTTTAACAATGTTTTTTCAATTGTACTTTTCAGGATATGTAAGCCATAATTCTCCTTTGAATCCATTCCTTGATCTCAGTAGAAAAACATGTTCCATAATACTGAATTCCTTGTCTCTTCTAATCAGTTATTTCCCGCTTTCTTCCAAATGACTTGGTATGATTCTGCTTTGGTTTTCATGGCTTGTTTTATATTCTTAATAAAGTTTTATTGGGAATGTTTGTGTTATTTGTGACTAATAATTTATATTTATGTGCATAATTATTAATGTTCACTATTCAAAATTGCTGTTTTTGTGTGTTAATAACATCTGATTTTGTGCTTCTGCTCTAATAATTCAAAAGAAAACCCAACATAACTTGCATGATAAGAATGAGTTGTTATATAACGTCTTCAGTTAATTATACCTATATTTCAAAATAAGATAATTTGTTTTTCATCGTTCAAGTTTCACTAATGGCTTTTGAAATATTTAACAATTTTTGTGGCAATATGCCAATTCTAACTGCAGGGTGGAATGTCTAATCTACTTTTGGATTTATATGCAAATTTTGTAAAATAATTTTCTAGCTTGATAGGAACTTCTTCTAAATGTAACAAAAATGTTTAGTTTTAAAATGCAATTCTGTGTCTAAATATACTTTCTATACCATTTTTGTGAAATGTTACAAGTAATGTCCGTAATCCAGGTAAACAGGTAGCTTGGGTGTTGGAGATACTTGTGGCTCTTAATACATTGGTCTGTTTAAGTTTCTTTCTGCCCCCACCCCCTTTTGTTCATGAAAGGTAAAAGGAAGTTGTAATATTTAATGTTTTTCACTAGTCTGCAGAATGCACTATAAATATCAAGCCTTTAATCATCTGATTAAAATGTACGTAGATCTGACAGGTAATCAGCTGGGACATGCTTATCCAATACGGAGCTTCTCATTTTTAAGTTAAAGTTCCCCATTGAATAACTGATCATCTGTCAGGTGTATTTAAATTTAGGAAAATAATTATTTATAATTTTAATTTGAGAATACATTCCAATTAAAATTACATTGTGATAATCAGAATTCGCTTGATTAAAAATTTCCTCATTAATGTTCTAAAAAATGCAAGTATATTTTAATTTAATTCTGGATAATGTGGCCAGTGCATCTGGCTAAGAATTGAGTGGAAAGGGATATATGAAATTCTGAAGTGACTTTATTATTTACCTTATGTAACATTTTTTTCAATCTATAATGTTTGACATCATAAGTTTTTGATGTGTGTAGAATGTATTTCAATGGCCATTAATTTATAAAAAATGCCGTTTTCAACTTAACAACATTACTTAACTTAAAATAACATTAGGAAAATTAAGTAATTTTGAATTAAAAAAATGTATGTCTGAAACACTTAACACAAAATGATAATGCTGTCCACATAATGTGTGTGTTTTTATGAATTACAATAATTGTATGTTACTGCAGTTAGTATTTCAAGTAACCAGTTTGTCTATACTAATAATGTTAAAAAAGTATTGCACTAGGACATGTAATAAGAACTTACACCTCTTATCTGTTTGAAATATATGACTGGAAAGGAGGAACAATGATAATAATAAAATTAATTTTTTTCATTCTAACAAATAGTTTTTGGATTTTTAAAAGCCCAAGGACTTAAAAGAAGGTTCCCTGGTTACAATTATGAAGCTATTATAATTAATTTGTTTTTACTGTGATAATTTACTGTTTTTATTTTATAAATAATAGTTCTGTGTGATTTTAAGCAGTTTTTGGCTGTTAACAAATTTTGCAATTTTACCTTTGTTTATAATTACTACATCTTCTGTAATTCTTGAATAATTTTCTTGAAAATTTGTGAGAAGGTAATGTTCTCAATATCTTCTGGTATTTCGTCATTAAATATTAAATAAATAGTATTGGGATCCAGTATTGTGAAGATTTCTCTCTTTCAACGTCGTTTATTAACTTTTGGTAGATATTTTTAGCATCTATTTTTGCCATTTTACATTGCGTTTGTTTCCAGTTAGCTTTTTATAGCTAGCATCCATTAGCTTTTGTTTTTAGGATTTATGGTACTGTATGAAGTATAAATATTTTCAAATAACAGTGTTAATGTATTACAAAACTTCAAAAGTGGTCAACATTAATTATAATTGTAAGTGACAGTATTGTGGCACCTACTAAGATTGCCCTTTTTAAAATTTATCTCAATTTTTTTTTTATTGTGCCAATACCTAAAATCTTCATAGTTGTGGGTAATTTTTCTTTCTAAATTGTTTTTAAGTCACATTAAAAGTAAAGTTTCTCTTATACCAAAATCTTTCTGGTGCGTAGCTAATTATTTAAAATTAACTGTAAATTTTAATTAATTTGGTGTCGTGGAAAATGATTGTTTTATGAAAGGGCATTATTTTTCTTCATGCTGATAGAATAGCAATAAGTTTGTTTTTTTAAATACATCTTTAAAAAAAATAAATAGTGAAATCGTCTCTCAGCGCTGATAAACATTAAAAGTTCTTGTGTGTTTCTGTTTATTGATTAATTTCTGAATTTTATGAACATTGAAAGTGGATTTTAAAGTAGGTGCCTCTATCAGGAAGGTAAACTTTGTATAAGAATCATGTCCCAACAGTATTGAAGATCAAGTGTTCTATTTAATTCTAGCTGATTACTGTTATTTTGACATCTTTATTAAAATTTAGGTTCAGAATACTGCTTTATATTTTAAAATGTCCTTTTTTACTTGTGAATATAAATGTCTATTGCTTATATTGGTAAAACTTGTGTGATAATTGTTTTTGTTGCTAAAAAAGTGGGCTTTTTTAAAATAGTTCCTTTAATATTAAGATATCCTTTTTTAAAAAAATTCTTATATATCATTTTATTTTTTACGACTGTAGATTATACTTATCAAGAATTCATAAATGTTTAAAATTAAATGAAGCAAGTAAGTTTCAAAGAAAAATAATCATTTGAATAAGTTCCATTAAATAAGATGTTTTTGTTATTATAAGTAATAACAAAAACATCTCATTTAAGGGGGGGGGAAAGAAAAAGAAACAAAGGGAGGGGGCTATAAACACGACAGGAAAAGGTAAAAAAACAAGTTTTTCCTTTTGTCACGACATAAAATTAATTTCTATACTAAACAGCATTGTAAAGTGAAAACAAGAAAATGACATTACATAAAATCTGCCTCCTACCACCCAAGCAGATCAAAGAGTTCCTGTGCCCATGCAAGCTTTGTCCAACATGTTTGGTTGCGATCGAAATAGAATGTCTCTAAAAAATTGTTTGTCACAGTTTCAAATATGACCCCAGATTTGAACAATTATCGATGAAGTAGCAAGCTCATCCTTCCCATTAATTTTATGACTAATTTCTTCTAAAAATTAAAAGTTGAATGAAATGTGTTATGTTATTTTAATACCTAATTAATATGGAGAAATAAAATTGCCAATTATATCACTTAATCATTTCTGTTGAATCTTCAGTAGGTCTATGTTAACCCATATACTTGAAATGTATTGTTACCAGGGGAGCTGGAGGAAGTTTCATATAGGTTAAGGGAGCCATGCATGAAAAGTTTGAAAACCCGTGATCTAGCGCCAAGCCCTTCAAATAAATGGTCAATGGGGAAAAGAGAAGGTTTTGGGTATATAGAGTGACCACTTTCTGGAAAACTGGTAATAATCTGGGAATTTCATTGCTCCAGAAAAAATCAGGGGAATTTGTGAAAGAATTATTTGAAATCAGGAATAATTTTGAGATAATTTTGGAACTGGATTTTATTCCTAAAAAAATAGCACAGCATTACATTTTGCTCAATTTGTGAATATTTTTTTAAATTTTCTGGCTTGTTTTAATGTTTTTTTAAAAATAGTGTGAAATACCGTAGATATCTTATCAGTAAAAAAAAATGCTCAGGGGAAATGGAAAAGTCTTGAAAATTTGTTTCAGGAAATGAGTGCCCACTGCGATAAATTTACTAGTGTATGTTGAAGATTGCCTATTCCCTTGGTTGCAGCATATTTTTCAAGAATCAATATATTTACTATTAAACAATTGTGTAGTCTAGCAAGATAGAAATCAATATTGAACAATAATTAAAGGTAATGTGATTGAAATCCACTAAGCATTATACTGTTATTCTATTGTATATTTCTAATTTTACTTTTCTGGCAATTTTATTTCTCTAGATCTGCATCTGACTTGAATGTGGATAATACTCTAATGTCTGAGAAAATTTTTTCCTACTACTTGGAAAAATTGAACTTCAAGAATACATCAGTATCATTTCTACTGTACTTTAAAATTGAAAGAAATCTTTGGGGCACATATACAAACATTCTACATTCTTATTATCTTTGCATTTATTTCAAAATTAGTCATTATTTTCTTTTTTCTTCTGAAGTGAAAAGTACATTCTTGTTTGGGAGTTGTTTGTCACCTTGATTTGGTTTTATATTTTCCTTATTATTGTGAAAGCAAGAGGAAAATCAGAATATAAGGACAAGAAAATTATGAGAAGGAATTTGTGAGGAGATAATATGGTTGAATGTACTTCTATTTATTTCACAGGAGAAATCTTCCAAACAGACCTTTGGTGCTTTATTTATTATTGCTTCACTTAATATTTGAAAGGTGTGAATGGGATTTCAATCTCCAGTCATTAATAGAAATTATGTATTATGATACATGTAAGCTCTTACCATGTATGATTCTTTTTGCCTCATTCTTCTTATTCATGTATTATTTCATTTATTTTTTAGTGTTTTGGGATTATAATACTAATTGTGGTTTGTTTTTTGTAAATAGAGAACATTAATCCTTCTGAATGTGTTTTTGTTGATACAATTTAGTTTTGCAGTTATGTTGGAATGCTTGCATTCATTCTAGTTGCTATCTTCAAAACTTCTAACATTTTAAAGTTAATTTCATATCCCAATAAGTCACGTTAGTGACCTCTGCACCAATAAAATAAATTCCTATTTATTGATATCCCTGAGCCCATTGTTAATATTGAAGAGCGAGAAGGATAGAGGATTGGCAAATAGATACCAGAACCTCATTCCTTCCTACCTCTACGCTCCCTGTGGAGTCTGCAACTGGTTTAATTGATGGGAAACACATGACCTGCTGACTTGTGGCAGACCTCACAAGCAAGAGCAGTGTGTTGCTGTTTTAGACATGGTGAGTGTCCCTCTATCCTTCTCCACTCTTGTATTAAATGCTGTTGATGGTGACCTTCAGTTGAAAGATGAACTTAAATGCAGAGTGAAGTTTGTAGAATGTGCCTTCAATTTGAAAATAATTTTTCTATTTCAGCTACTTCAAAGATTTCATGTATAAAATGTGGATTATTTTTTTCCTAAATGTATTTTTCACCTAGACATAATTGTGAAGAAATAAGTCAGTAATACCATTGACAAACCAAAATAACATTTGTTTGATGGGAAGTGAGGATCAGTATGATTTTTCATTGTACAGTAAAATCTATCTAAACCAAAACTTGTACAAGATGGAAACCTGCCTTAATCAGAAATTTTTTTTCTGGTCCATTAAGTTAAATGGAATTTTATGCAGCATAAAATGGAACCTTTCCAACGTGGAAACAGAATGGTTTTGAATGTCGGGGCATAAAGGGAGGGAGAAAAAAAACTCTTTTCAAAATGGAATTCTTGTGAATTTAATGTAATTAGCAGAGATGAGATATTCATAAAATTAATGCATCTGCAAGCCTGTTTTAATTCTCTCTCTGTGACACATGATTTAGCCTTGGAAGCTGCATACTGATGGTGAGATGCTTTAGCTGTCAGCCTATTTGACCTTGGGGATCCTTGTCTTTGAAGCAGTCTGTCCTAGGGGAATTCCCTCTCTCCTGACTGAGCCTGGGAAGGTGTACAGGCAGCTTGTATTCACATGCCTCCCTGCTCCGCATTGAACATCATAACGCCTCAACCAGATACGCATTGCTCAAGACCGAGTGGGGTTACCAGAAAGTCATAGTTTTCTGGGTAGTGACGAATTGTGGGTTGAAAGTGTCAGCAAGCAGTCCAAATGCAGCCACTAGGCTGTAAGATATGAAGTTTTGAGTTTCACAACCATTTTAACAGTGGTTGAAAACCAACTTTAGATGACAAGGTCAAACTTATGGAAGCAGGAGAAACTCAAAAGCTGTCAATGAAGAATGTTTAATATTCATTTATTGGTTACTTCTTCAATAAATATTTTATATGTTAATGTATTCTAATAATTATTATAAAGTTATGTAATTTACTTGCTTTTAGGACAGTATTATTAATATTACAAGTGTCATAAAATGAAAAATCATGCATTACAACAGAAACATCCCTGAACTGGATTTTTTCCCCTAATTGATTCCGGCTTAGACTGATTTTACTGTACCTGGAATGGGAGTTGAAGTTGGGCTTTAAAGTATTCCTGAAAATTCAAGTTTTCAGGCTCTTTGTGATGTGTGTGTGTCATGAGATTCAAAGAAAATTATTTTCTTAGGTCTGTGGTGTAATTCAGCAAGTACTTCCCCTCTGGCTGCTTTGTCAACATTTATGTCAGGAGGGGTGAATTTACTGCCTTCTTCATTGGTAAGTACCGTTGAAAAGGTGTGTGCTGTGTTGTGATAGCATGTTTTAATTAACATCATGAAATTTTCTATTTACATAGGTGCAGAAAACCAGTACATATGGAGTAGAGAAGCTTGCAAATCCACCAATGGAAGATGAAAATCTAGACCTCTTAGTTCAGAAGATACTGTCTAGTTCTGAGTTCAAGAATGTACTTCTTGTGCAGGATTTTAGAAATAAGGAGCACCTTATGTATAATGAAGAAATGTTTCTTTCTTCTGTAAAACTGGAACACAAGAAGCTTAAGGTGGAATTTGATAATGAGGTACACATTGTTTTCAATTTATTTTAGGTAATACATTTTACTAAATCATGCTTGTAACAGGATGTCCTGATTGATTATTATAAAAGTGTATTTCTAATGAGGTAGATGCTTTTGACCTGCTGGTAAGTTTGACAATTTTGCCATGGAGAGGGGTACCTGAAAGAGCCAAACAACCAAATAACTTTTTTTAATAGAAGGTTCAAAAAGGTCTTATCTTTTTAGAATATAGCTTCAGAATCATTACTTGGACCCCCATGTTCTCCATATGTTGCATGCATCTTCCACTGCATTTTCTCATGCTTGTACCACGCAAGGTTTCCTATATGGTTACCAAATTTCCTCTCTCTGGTTCTTGACATGCTCATTCTAAAGGTGAACTGGAGCTTTAATTGGAAATCCTGAAAGGTTAAATTTTTAAAGTTTATTTGAATGAATTATGTAACTTAAAGCTTTAATTGAAGAGGTTTATTAACTTTTTCAATCATATTTATTCATTGTTATTCTCCTGATTTATCTTTAGTGTCTCAGTAGTTCAGTATCTATCTTTTGTTTCAGAATAAGGAATTGGAATTGGCTTTAGCAGAGCAAAAAAAAATACTGTTAGAACATCAAGCAACCAATGAACGTTTAAGTCTGGAATATTCAGTTTTGATGGATCGAATGGAGCAATTGAAGATACAAATGAAGTCATTGCAGGTTTTATTTTTTCTTTGTTTTTTGAGATTTGTAAAATTGTTATGTTTGAACGGGACAGGGAGATGGTATATAGTGAAAGAATCTCTTTCTTCTTTTTTGATGTTTGTTACAGTTCAGTGGTTGGATACATAGATCTCTCCTTCAAGGATTGACAAGTTAACTATTTTTGGTTTCATCAATTACTTAAGTTGAGATGCATTGTTTCTGATTGTGGATCTTGAAAATATTGACATAAAAATATATCTAGCTGTTTTGAATCCTGTGAATACCTTCCGTACAAGGGGTAACTGTCTTCAGTGTACCCCACAGAGGATCAGGGGGGTGCTGTCAATAATGTTAAGAATATTCTAATTAAACATTAGAAATTATTTTATTGAGAAAATAAATTCCCCTTTGTCATAATGTTAAGGGTTAAAAAAAAGATGACATTTTACAATCGATTTGTTCTTGCTTTTTAATAAATTAATTGTTTTGAAAAAATCATAGATACAAATAAAACCAAGGTTGTTATTGTGTATTTTGCATCTTAAAGAATGTATTGCCAAGACCCCCCCAAAAATTTCTGAAATCCATATTTACTAGAATATAAAATGAGATTTTCTAAAATATTTCATTAGAGAAATACAGGGTAGTCTTATATTCACACATCAAGCCTAGCCATTTGGGGTCTCTCGTATGTTGCCTTTCCACATCGAAGAAAAACTTTAACATTGACGTAGTAATAAACTAGTGGTGAAGTAATAAGAAACCAGCACACACTTTCTTGAATTATTTCCAAGTTTTTGAAAAGGTCTATGAAAATAAAATCTGTACATTTCTTTTTAAGTATTCCTAGTTCCATCCATGGAAAAAAATTGGAGTGGTTTTTGAGAAAGTTCTTTTTATAAATTGCATACATTTCAAGGACAAAAAAAGACTCAGTTTTTCAAACAAATGGTACATGATTAAACAGCTGATTTTTAGAGAAATTTTCATGAAGGCAAACATTTTTTCTTCAATTTTGTAGTTTTGAAACTTTAATTTTGCATTTTTGGAAAATATATGGTTCACGGTGAATGAGACTTGCACAGATTGTGAGAGTGTAGGCTTCCGCGGCCGGTGTCAGTATTTACTAGGCTGTCCGGGTGACGCCGCGTCCATGGCGAAGGTGCCGACATTTCGGTCACCATTCTGCGACCTTCCACAGGGCATAATGCATTACCAGATAATGGAGGAGGACACACTCTAATTTCCGGAGGATTAGTCCCAAGCGCAAAGCGCTCAACGCCAAAGGCTTAGCCCCCAAAAGGCTTGGAGACGCATTACATAAACAATGAATCCAGAACAAAATTTCAAAAAAAATTTTTTTAGATTCTTGAAAAACAAGACTTAAAAAAAAATCTAGATATGTGGAACAGAATTTCATGTGTGACTAATTGACAGTAAAGAAATTATTTTTAATTCTGTGAAATAATAGAAATATATAAAAATTATTTCTTTTAATCTGTATTTCTAATTCAACTTGAAATTAAAATCCATAAATGTTGCTGTTGTGTAAATGGTTACAGGCCCACAATGTTCATCTCTCAAGACGAGTTGGAGAGTGCCGCAAAATTTTTATTCAAACTTTTCCCAAAGTAGAAATAGAAAAACATGTCTCTAATTTCCTTCATGGGTTATTCGATATACCTGATGCCGAAGGCAACAATAAAGAGACGATGAAAAGTTGGATTAAGACTCTATTAATAGCAAAAGATAATTTAGAAGATCACTTGGCAGAGACAATGACCATTGTAAATAAAAGAATTGAAGAAGGTGAGTTTTTCTTTGTTAATGAATAATTTTTGGAATATGCCTATTGGCATTAATTTGTTTCTTTATTTTGGATTATGCTTTTTAGCTACTGGAAAGTCAGCAGAGACTCTAATGGCATCCATTTCTGATATGATGAAGGAAGAGTTTTTGAAACAGGAAAAAAAACTACATGCTGATACAATTAAATATATATCTGTTACTGGAGAAACAATTTCAGCAAATTCTTGTGATGGGTGTTCATTGTCAATTGACAAGGTCAAAGAAATTGTAAATAATGCTTTACATCGTTACGATGCTGACAAAACTGGGATGGTTGATTATGCCCTTGAAAGTGCGGGTAAGTAAATATTTATTTCTTATTTTCAGAAGTGGAATCTGGACATCATAACATGCTCAAACACATTGTTTTTACAGACCTTCAATCCTTACCCTGCTTTTTTGTTTCTTCTCTTTCTTTTTCTTCCTCTTTTCTCTTATTTCTCTCTCTCTCTCACTTATTTTTCTTTTTCTCTCTCTTCTCTCCCTTTTCTCTCTCTTCTCTCTTTTCTCTCTCTTTTCTCTCTTTTCTTTCTCTTTTCTTTCTCTTTTCTCTCCTTTCTTTCTCTTTTCTCTCCTTTCTTTCTCTTTTCTCTCTTTCTCTTTTCTCTCTTTCTCTTTTCTCTCTTTCTCTTTTCTCTCTTTCTCTTTTCTCTCTTTTCTCTCTTTCTCTTTTCTCTCTTTTCTCTCTTTCTCTTTTCTCTCTTTCTCTTTTCTTTCTCTCTCTTTTCTTTCTCTCTTTTCTTTCTCTCTTTTCTTTCTCTCTCTTTTCTTTCTCTCTCTTTTCTTTCTCTCTCTTTTCTTTCTTTCTTTCTCTTTTCTTTCTCTCTTTTTTCTTTCTTTCTCTCTCTCTTTTCTTTCTTTCTCTCTCTCTCTTTTCTTTCTTTCTCTCTCTCTCTTTTCTTTCTCTCTCTCTCTCTCTTTTCTTTCTTTCTCTCTCTCTCTCTTTTCTTTCTTTCTCTCTCTCTCTCTTTTTCTTTCTTTCTCTCTCTCTCTCTTTTTCTTTCTTTCTCTCCCTCTCTCTTTTTCTTTCTTTCTCTCTCTCTCTCTCTTTCTTTCTCTCTCTTTTTTCTTTCTTTCTCTCTCTCTCTTTTCTCTCTTCTCTCTCTCTTTTCTTTCTCTCTTCTCTCTCTCTCTTCTTTCTCTCTTCTCTCTCTCTTTTCTTTCTCTCTTCTCTCTCTCTTTTCTTTCTCTCTTCTCTCCTTTCTCTCTTCTCTCTCTCTTCTCTCTCTCTCTCTCTTCTTTCTCTCTCTCTCTTCTTTCTCTCTCTCTTTTCTCTCTCTCTCTTTTCTCTCTCTCTCTCTCTCTTTTCTCTCTCTTTTCTCTCTCTCTCTCTCTTTTCTCTCTCTCTCTCTCTCTCTCTCTTTTCTCTTTTCCCCGAACTACATTTTACAAATCGCAACATTAAGTTAAACAAGTGTTTTAAAGTTACCAATTGCTAAAGCACACACTGGTTTATTTGTATACAGACACATCTGGTTTATTTGTATATGTAATGATTGCATTTGTGGGTAAAAATGCTTAAAATGATTTTCAATAAAGTTTCTCGACAGTTTCGTTTTCAACAACAACACTCTCATCAAATTAAACTCTTGTGGGACTCGAACCAGTGACCTGTTGGTTTCAAGTGATGAACCTGAACATGCCACTTAAAAACCTCGGCCATCCAAGAGGACAAGACTATATACTTCTGTATTACTCAAGACACAACTGTTTCATTTCTAGCGTTACGGAGCTGAGAAAATGTTCAAAATCAAGGGGGTTAAAAGTTGCAAATTAGAAAATCACATACACACTTCAAATTTATCTTAATTTATTGTATTTGTTAGTAGAAGTGCTTCAAATAATGTTCAATTAAGGTTCTGCAATTTTCAATAGCTTTATTCAGCAACACAGAAATGTGACAAAAAAACTATCGCTGAGCGGTTAGAAACAAACCAACCTTGCTCTGAAGCACTGAGACACTACATGTCATTTAACCAACCTCGGCCACCAGGGTTGCACAGGGAACAGGTACTCCTGTAATTGTAATTGTCATAAGAGCTTCGTGTTTCAGTTGCAGTATTAGGCAGTGGAAAAATTAACAAAATTTAAAATAAATGTCCTTTTGGCAGAAAAAGATTGCAACTTGGTAGGGACAACTCGACGTGACAAATTCCTGAGGCAGCCTCGAAACAGCTGCCCTTGTCCCTGAAATGCTGACACTGAACTCGACATTTAATCTCTTCGGCCACCCGGGACATACAGAGAAGGGGCACTTCTGTAATAGTCATAAGTACCGAAAGATAACAATTGATTTTATGTTTGGACGATTTACAAATTCAATAAGAGATATGAAAAATTGTTTAAAAATTTCACATTGAAAATTCGAAAATCACATACAGACATTCATTTATCATGATTAATAATATTTGTGATTAGAATTGCTTCAAATGGTTTTAAATAAAGTTCGTGGAATCCTCAATTATTTCCTACGGCAACACAGAATTTTCACAAATAATAAGAACGGGGCCCATACCCACCAATTTAGCCATCCCATTAGGATATAAAATGAATACATATATAATGGTAATAAGTGTTTGGTGGTTTCTGTTCTATCATTACATAGGAGAGTGATTGAGAAAATGTGTTTAAAAAAATTGTTTTTTGGATGACAAAATGAAAGCAGCTGTGAAGAGAATGAGGCTTGTTGCAAAAGTTACTTAAGCATAGAGCAAACTAGGCGAGAAAGTCTGTGCCATTTTATATCAGCACTACTTTATTTTTTTTTAATCTTTATGTATTTAAATAGCTAATTTACTACAAAAAAAAATTCTGAGACAAAAATATATTTGATTTTGTAGATTTGAAATTCTTTTGCAATTTTCAAAAAAAAGAACAATATCCGAAATAGGGGCTAGCGCCATATTTCCTACCGTCCCTTATTACAGATAGGGAGAAAATTTGTAGAAAAAATTTGGAGCGGTTTTGATAAATTTTTTTTCGTAATTGCGAATGCAGATTATGCAAAAACACTTGTTTTTCTAAAAATTTGAACATGTCAGTTTTTAAAGAGATAATTATATACAACAGACTTTGCCTGAGACAATAATCTTAATCTTCAATTTTGTGCTAATAATTTTGTTTTTGTTATTTTTTTTAAAAAAAAAAAAAAAAAAAAGGAGCAATACTTGAAAAAGGGGACTAGCACCATACTTCTTTCCATCCCATATTACATATGTGAAGAAAATTAAAAAAAGATTGGAGTGATTTTTGAAAATTTTTTTGTTCTTGTAAATTTCAATCGCAATCACAAAAGCTAGAACTTTTATCAAAAATCTTTTTTAAAGACCTAATTTTGTACAACCAACTTTGTCTGAGCCAAAAACCTCTTATCAATTTTGTAGTTCAAAAATTTGTTTTTGCAATTTTCGAAAAATCAGGAGTATTACTGAAAATGACATGTTCGCTATTCTCTTAAATGTCATTCCCGTCATATAAAGTACCTTCCATAATTAAAATATCGGTTTCAAAATCCTGGGGTCGTAACATCAACCAGATAGATTGAGGAATATTAATTTTGGAGAAAATCTGCTGATCCGTTTAGCTGCTAGCATTGACCACAGATAGATGGACAGACAGACGTTTTGCCAACAATCAAATTTTTGATATCAAGAACCCACAAACTTGGATTTTGGCCACACCATATGTAAGAGAATTTTCTCCCTAAGTTTAGCAACAAAATTTATCCAAGTTTTCGTTATCTGAGCCCGACTATAAGCCTTTTTCTGGTGAAATTTTTTCATTGCATGATTACATAACTCTTTTCTTATGAAGAATTCATAAGGTGGGAAAGTAGAAATTAATAAAAATACATACTGTAATAGAGTATTTATGTTGGTTATGTATAGTGTATATTGATACACTATACATATTATTGATACTGTACTCCATTATATTCAAGTACTACAGCTTGCAAGGGTCAATTGAATTGTTTATATCAGAAAACCGTCAAACGTGAAAAATTTGAAAAACGTGAGTTAGCAGTGGGATATTGTTGCACGAGGATAAACACCTCTATTAGTGCAAAAATCAGCAATTTGCAACCCTCGCAATGTAGTCTGAAAGAACTTACATATCGCGCTTAGAAAGCTGTCAAGCATCGTTGGAAAGCTCTATACCAAAAGTAAATTTTCTTTAAATTCTTCAGTGGTCGCATGCAAACTTAAGCATGTGAAGAATTATTCAGTCTTATATTTAAACTAATTATTTCAACGGTAAGTGTTACTATTGTAGTCCAAGTTACACTGAAGGGTTATCAGCACCACTCCAGCGGCCAGTTAGGTTAGTACTTGTTAGGTGGGGGAGATTTTCTCAGAAAGGTACAGTAAGTGTCACTGTGAGCCTATCTATGTTGACTATATGCATATCTAAAAATTGCAATATTTTTGTTCTCAGTTGCATGTATTCAGGGTGGTGTTTTGAAATTCCTTTTGCAAGTGATTTGATTGTGCTAATTAATCACAATAAAAACAGAAATTTTTCTGAGAAAATGTTTAGTTCTGATGATGAATGTATGCAAAAGATGATGTGGAAATCTTCTTGAGGAAACTTAGAATAGATAAAGGAAACCTGGAATTATTTTTCTTCTAGAGAATAAAAACATTTAAGGTGCATATATTCAAATGTTCAAAAAGATAAAAGAAAAATCAGCTACCACATAAGACATTGTTTTACTCAATGTAAAAAAGCCCTTCAAGAATATTTTGGTTATCTTCAAATCCATTAGGCAGGTTTGTTATTTTACAGTTCTTGTGGCAGGTTCCAATTGACAACAAGAAGATAAAGGGTTTAGTGAAACTGAGACAATGTAATTGGCTATGAACACATTATGACAACATTTTGCATTGGCCGAGCAGAGATGGTGATGGTGATTTTGCTCTTCAAGATAAATAACAAGTCTGATTTTTCAAGATTTTTTGTGTCCAAAATTTCATTATTTTTAAATTTATAGCATATAGCACAATAAATAATGTATATAAACACTCATAATTTCATTACAAATTATAAGTATTCATAAAATCTGGGGCCGAATTCATAGTCGTCACTTATACGTTAAGCAAACCCTTAAGTGATAAGTGCTTTCTCAAAATAATTGTTCCCTTATAGGCGCTCGTATTTCATAGACGTTCCTTATGACCGCGGAATGAGTGTTCCCTTAAGCACACCACACACACACACACACACACACCCACACACATCCACACACAACACACACACACACACACACACACACACACACACACACAACACACACACACC